TCTTCATTATGTTTTTTTTTGTTTTTATTAACAAAATAATAGTTGTGAGTTTTATTTAAAGTTATAGAAGTGCTTGTATTATCAAATAAATTAATTACTTGGACGTACTAAATTATGAATCAGTCTAATTATTTTAAATCAACTATAATGAAAAAAGTATTATATGGAAGTATCAAAAAAAAAAATAAATCTGTACTAAAAAAGTATTAACATAATTTTATTACATGAGTGTATAAGATATGATACAATGAATATATCAAAATTAAAGTATAAATGGATAAAAGCATTAATTGATGAATCTCATATTATATTGGTTATTCTTATATTTGTTCTGTTTCTTTTTTAGAAAAACTGAATATTTTGATTCATTTTCAGACATGACTTGAGCAATTTCTTTTTGTTCATATTTCTTTTCTACAATTCATCTCATATTTTTTTTCTTTTATAAAGTCTCTTGTTATGTCTTTGTTTATTTCATTCTTGTCTTTGGTTTCATAAATTGTATAATTCTAAATATTTATATTCGATGAATTTTTCATCTATTCTAATTCCTTGTCTTTCAAATCCTTTCTTAGTTTTATCATATACTATTTTAATCTTTTTATTCTTCTCTTAATTTTTTATTCTTTCTGAAGTTCTTCAGTAATTATTTGTAATATTTTGTCTTTGTTTATCACTTCTATTGCTTTTTTTTCCATTCTACTAATTCTAATTTCATACATTTTTATTACTTATTCTACTTCTATGTAAATATTTTTTCAATTTCTCAACTCATGGTTCCTGTACTTTGTATTTCCTCCATTTATTAATTCTTTTTGCTTTTATTTTAATATAACAAACTTAATAATTATTATTTAATTCTTTCAATTGAATCAAATTTTATTGAAATTATACTTCTATTCTTAATATTGGATTTTTTAAAATACCATTAACATACAATTATATTACATCTTATAATCTTTTTTAAAATATATTATATCACCTTTTAAACAACGTTTTAGTTTCTTTTTTAAACTTATGTTGAATTATATTTTATATAATATCAACGTTACTATTGTTCATCTTCGTTTAATAATAAAACAATTGTTTTTACATTTATTAAAATATATACAATATTATGGAATGAAGTAATATCTTGAACCTACGTAAAAATATAACATAAATTCAAAAAATAAATAAGTGACATTTACTCAATTAGGTTAAAAAAGCTTTGCTCTAGTCTAAAGTATCTATTTTAAGAAAAGCAAAATAATTTATCATATATGTACATTATATAATATTTATTTCTTACAATAATTACATATTAGTATTAAACTCTAATTCCTTAAAAAGAATAAATTTTGATTTTAAATGTATAAACATTCTTTCAATTCAACTTTTTAATTATTCTCAAATATCAATCTCTTCTTATCTGCTTCTTGATTTTTTTTTTTTTCATTTGTTTCTGCTTAATTAATACTTATCTTTTATTTTTCTTATTCCAAATTCACATTTAAACCATTTAATCTCTTTCTTATGTATTAATCATATTTACTAATATCAATTCTAAGAATATGAAATAAAATTATTCTCATTATAGCTTGTGATAATTGAAACTTTAAGTGTTGAATTGTCCAATTATAAAAAACATATGAAAGTTAAAAAAAAAATGAAAATCGGGATTTATAACATAAAAGGGTTTTAAAAAAAGGAACAAAGGAAATAGACGATGGAGATTGGAGGAAAACACTATGGAGCATTTCGAGAAGAAGAAATTGTTCACATGCAAAACTTGATGAAAATTATTGAGAATGGAGCTAATAATGAGTTTGTGACTATCTCATTATTCAAGATACTAAGCTCAATGATTTTAAAGTTAAATCTACAGATGATGGAGAATGAAAAGACAAAACGAGAACAACTTGAAGAAATCGTTGGTGCTGTTAATTTCTTGAAGAGTCGGGTAGATGAAAGTAATGAAGCAGTTCAGAGTATTATCAATGAAATTCCAAAAGAAAGAGTAAGAAAAGACCCAATTATTGAGATGAAAACACTTGAAGCAAAAGAAAAAGAAAGTCAAGAGAAACAAGAAGTGAAAGGAGAGATTGAAATTAATATAAGAGAAACACTAGAAAGTTTTGGAATTGGAAAGGAAATTGAAGAAGTTAAAGAGTGGATTGGAAAGAAAGAATATCATACGATTTATGATTCTAGTGTTGATGGGTTAACATCATATGGTTTAAATGATAAAATTTGTGGAAAGAAGAATGTAATGGTATTTATTAAGACAAGTGATGAGCAAATTATTGGGACATATAGTAGTGTAGTAATTCCTACACCAAGTTATGAAGGAGAATATTGTTTCATAAGAAATGATAAAGAGTTTTTCATTTTAAAGAAAGAAGGAGAACATATGAAACGAATAATTAAAAGAGAAAGAGCTGAGAAGAGTGATGCTAGTTTAATGATTCATTGTTCCATGGATGATGTGTTTTATGTTTCGAGGGCTTTTTGTATTAAAACGAAAGGGTCATTTGTTCTTCCAGGCATTAGTCAAGAATATGAAATTGAAGATTCATTAGGAGATGATTATTTAGTAGGAACACATGATCCATCGAAGTTTGAAGTTAAGAAGATGTATGCCATTGAATGGAATTGAATTTCATTCTTATTCATTCTTGTTTTTTAAAATAAAAAATAACATATAAATAATTATTTATAATGTTTATGACTCAAATTGTCTAATAAAATGTAATTAACCTGAAAGTTTAAATTCAATTCTTTTTGATAATAAAGAAATACTTATCAATTAAAGCAATTAATATTTGTACAATTAAAAGAGTTGTTGTTAGTAGTTTATACAATCAATCATTAAATAAATTATTTAATTAAGTAATGGATTAATTTGTAATGTTAATAGTTTTAAGTAATAGCATAATGTTTAATATTTTATTTAAACGTATTTATATAATTAATAACCATTTTCAGTTTTTTTCCATATTTTTCGAAAGTGAATAAATTGTTCAGTTGTGGTTATTAAGGTTTGTTCAGTTTGCTATTCATTAAGTTATTAGTTTGTTGATGATGTTTTGACAATCTTTTCTGATTTATTTTAGCATTTGAGTTAAATTCATAAAATAACAGTTTCTATTTTCTCCTTAAAAACAGTAAAATAAGTGTAGTGCTATACACTGCCATGCTATCATTATATTTATGCCTATAAATGGTAATGTCATGTTTTTAAGTTACTTTAACAAACATATGTATGTTAAATGTTATTTTTTGTAATAAGTTTAGTTGATTGACTTATTCAAAAGAGATCAATATAGTCTTGAAGTTTTAAATAATCTTATCCATAACTTGTATTAAATTAAAACACTTCTATAACTGTTTTTCTATAATTGAACAAGAAAGAAAAATACGTATAGTATTGGTTATTTATTTAATACAAATATATTATAGGTTGTTTATAATACTTAATATTTATAAACTGATCAATAACTCCATAATAATACTTGTTTAATGATATAATACTATTTTTTTTAAAAAAAAAAGATAAAAAAGAAAATGAATAAATACATCGAGTTTTAACATTTACGAAAAATTTATTATTTTATTTTTAAAGGGGGTTGATTTTTATAAAAAAGGTATTTATTTAAATTACAATTATAATGTTTAAGAAAGGAGTTTTTCTTTTATTTTTCATTCAGTTAGTCTGAAATGATTTCCAAAACGACAAAAGAATGCAGTTTTTTAAGAAAATTTGGTTAAAAATAGAATATTCAAGTTTCAGTTTTTGTGAAACCATTCATGAAATAGTATATCAAAGATGTTTAGTTGGTGTTAGTGATAAAAAATGGAAAACAATTGATTTTTTAAAAAACTGTTGTTATTCCAAGACATAAAAAAAATTTTTAAGAATTGACTCTTCAGAAATTGACCTATTAAATCTCTCAAAACAAAAAAAAGAAGTCAATAGAAATGAACGTGACTATTGAACAAAATAATGATACTTATAATTACTCTATTACTTATAAATCTGAGAAAGTAAAAAAACAAAGAAAAGCTGGTATTGCTTGGAGGAAAGAAGAAGACCAAAAATTACTTCGTGGTGTAGAAATGTTTGGAGAGAAAAGTTGGGTTGAGGTTGCTAAATTTGTAGGAACAAGATCACGAAAACAATGCAGAGAACGGTTTATTAATCATATTGATCCTGGAATAGATAAAAGACCATGGAGTTCAGAAGAAGATGAAAAGATTCTTCGAGGATATTATCATCATGGGAGTAAATGGAGTGAAATAAGCAAAAAATTATCTGGAAGAACTGCTCGTGCTGTAAGAAACAGATATAAAGCATTATCTATTAGAAATAAATTATCTTGTTTCATTGAAGCAGATCAAAATTTATTTAAAGTTATTAATGGAGGTTCCACTTGGTAGTTATGATAAAAATTTTAAATATCTTGTTGATTTGTTAAATAAACTAAACTTCATTAATAAATTTCTATTGAAGGTTCTATTTCTTAAAAACCTCAGAATGGTTTTCATTTCAATTTCAAAAACTTTATTTTTAGAACTTTCTTATAAACTTTTTTTCAAAATCATTGTGGCTTTATATTTATTGTAATATTTACACTTATTTTATTTAATCAAAACTTATTACTTGTATTTATTCTTAAATTCATTATTCTTTAACTAGAATTTATTCATTTTATTGTATTTATTTATCTAGTTTTTATTTAGAGAATATCAACTTTATGTATATGAACTTTATTTTATTTCCACTACTTTTTTTTATGTAAAAAATAAAAGTCTTTTATTATATATAGTACATCAATCACATTTTCATCACTGTTTTTGTTATCATTAAAATTGAAATTGATTCAAAATTAATCTATTACATTAATAACATAATAACAAAATAATAATTATAACAAAAATAGAATGAAAAAAATAAAAAAAATCATTTTATACTTTTGTTATTTGAACATAACAAAATCAAGAAAAATAAACTACTTAAATTAATTTGCCATTGCATCAGAAGAAGAAATTCCATCCATTGGTACTTTAACAACTGCAGGGATATCTGGTGCATCTGATTCAAACCATTTAAAGAAAGAATTAATAAGGTTATGTCTTGTAGAACAGAATAAGATGTAATTATGATACAATTTAAATAAGAATAAAGAGAAGACAAATCCAATATAAACGTCAGCAATATAATGCATTCTATTAGCAATATATAATATAAAGCATCCAATAGTAATTATCCACATAATTAATTTAATTAACGTCATTCTTAATGGATATCCATATGGAGTAGAATTAGGTGTATCTCCTAATAAATCAAATTCAATAATCGGTGCTTTATGTGAATAATGGTGCCATAAACATGCACAAATAACCATACTTGCTGCATTACCACTAAACATCATATCACATTCAACTCGATGAATTCCTAATAAGACTAAAAACCCTTCAACGAATACATTAGAAGTGTTGACGGTTGATGGTCTACCTGAAGGGTCTGGAAGGATAGTAGTAAACACACATAACCCACGAATAAAATAGATAATTCCTTGAAGGAAAAAGTATCTTCTTAATACAACCCAACGATAAGGAGTAACAAAAAATCTAAGTAAAGTAAATCCAATAAAAATTGCAGCAAGAATTTCTGGTAATAAAATAATATTTATCTGAGGTAAAATATCAAATGCAACATCAGCAATAACTATTTCATCATTCACTTGAGGATGTGTTTTTGCCCATTTTTCAAATCTTTTTTGTGTCAATACTTGAAAAATACCATTCCAATATCCACAAATGACCATAAAGACAAATGACCATAAGAATGGATGTGTAATAAATTTAATTATTTGTTTTAATGGTTGTTTAAATAATCCAATAATAAGCTCTTTTAAATCTTTAAATGTATCAACAATACATAAAGCTCCTCTTGCTGGAAAATTACAATTAGGAAGTAATAAACAAATTTCATTGTTTTGTGTTGTTGGTATAGCCATCTTTTCAATGAATTTTTGTTATTTAAAGTTTTTGATATAATTTATTTTTATTATAACTTAATAGTAAAATAAGTTATTTCTTGTTTAGTTTCTTCTTCAAGCTATGTCAATTCCCCTTTTTCTTCTTTATCTCCACTTTTTTTATTACTTCCAAACTAGAAAAAAAGAAAATTGTAGGTAAAAAAGTCATTTGTAATAATGCCAACATAACATTCAAACTAGTTATTCATCATCTTCTTCCTCTTCTTCTTCCTCCTCTTCTTCTTGGTCATTTAACCATTCGATGAACTCTTTAGCTTTTTGTTTCATTGGAGACATTTGAACAGCACCACCATCATACCATTCTTTCATAGCAGATTTGATTACATAACCATTATTATATAAGTATAACAAAATATTAAGTAAACGAGGGTCATTATACAATTTATATTTTGCACATGCAACGTTGAATTCTTCTAAGAATGAAATCATTCCTTGAGGATTTAATTCATCTCCTAAGAACAAATCAAAGAAATCAATTTGTTCAGCAAAGTTATCAAACATATTTGCATCAAAAATAATTTCAAACATCTCTCGAATTAATGTCTTTGTACTTAAATTATAACAATGCTTATATCCTCCAATAAGAGCATTAAGTCTATTTCCTGGATGTCCTTCATCAATAATTTTCTTTAAATCGAAATCTTTACCAACAATGTCAAGTTCTTCTTTTTCTCCATTTTTAAGTTTTAATGTGATTTTAACTGTTCTTTTATCAAATGGATTTTCTTTAGTTTCAACAACACCTTCATTAGTTTGTTCATCGTCTTCTTCTTCTTCTTTTTCATGTTTTGGAGGATGAACAAATATAAATTTCAATAATTTTTCATTCTTAGGAACAACAGTTGCTTCACCACAAGCTTTACAATGTAATGTAAGTGTTTTATTTTTAACAATCATAACAGTTTCTGGATTTTCACATTTCTTACATAAAACAAATTTATCAATGAATTTATCTAATACATTCATAAGATCTTTATATTCATGTTTACCATTAATAATATATTTTCCTGAATCAGTATTAGTAGCTGCTGCAAGTGAAATACCAAAATATCTACACAAATATGATGCTGGTCTATCCAACGCATTTGCAATATCTTCACAATTAACAATAACTGTTTTAATACCATTTCCTTTACCTTCAATTTTATGAATTAAATCTGGCATTTTATAACGGTAGAACTCATCAGTCTTTCTTCTTGGGACATTTAACATTCTGACTTTCTCACTCATTTTGTACTTCTTTCTTTATTTTTTTCAAGTTCTGCCCTATTTTTCTTTCTTCGTTTTGTTTTTTCTTTTTTTACTTCTTTTCTTTTTTTTAGGTTTTGTTTATTTTACTATTTTTTTTTAATTCTTTTATTATTAAAATATAATAAAAATTGGTCTTTGAAAGAGTAATAAATGAACGATTTAGTTTCTTTGGTATTAGTCATTATGTTGACTTCTTTGAGAATAACTTCTAGAATTACTTCTTGACCTACTATATGAACGTCTTCTAGAATTACTTCTTGATCTACTTCTTGATGAATATCTTCTTTTAAAACTAGTACTTTTACGATATCTTCTTCTTGAAGGTGATCTACTTCTACTATTTGGTGACCTACTTCTACTATTTGGTGATCTACTTCTGCTGTTCGGTGACCTACTTCTACTATTTGGCGACCTATTTCGATTTCTAATATTTGGTGATCTACTTCTTGAACGTCTTCTTCTAGGCCTATTACGTTCATACCTTCTTCCTGATTGCCTAAAAGTAAGTAATTTTCTTTTCATTATTACTTAAAAATAAATCACAAACTTCGGACAATTACGAGCAATATGTCCTTGTTGATGACAAATATAACATTCTTTATTTGAATTATTCTGTTTGCTAAGTTCAATATTAATTTTTTTATCACGGAACATAAAAGGAGTTGTTTGAGATAAATCGATTATTTTTTTTGCATCTTCTTCTGTTTCACAAACCTACTTGTTATTTTTTTTTATTTTTTTATAACACAAAAACATACAACAAAACAAAATCCAGTTTTAATATCAATACGCTCAATCTTTGTGTATTTACTAAACATTTCTCTTACATCAGACTCTCTCATTTCCGATGGAAAACGTCCAAGAAACAACTTTCTATTCCCCTCCATTCAGTTTCTTTAGTTGTTTTTTTCTAAGTTCTTTTTAAGTTTTTTTCTTTTTTTTTTAATTTAGATAAATTTTTAGGTTTATTTATTTGTGTGATAAATAACTTTTTTTAGAGAAGAAAAAGTGATATTAAGGGTGGAATGAATGTATTATTACTAAAGTTAATTTTTACTCTTTTACCAATTATCCATTTTAACAAGTGGATTTATTATTAAAGTCAGTTGGTTAAATTCAGTTTCAAACCAAAAAATAAACAACAGTATAAATGCACTACAAAAAAGATGAGGAGAATCGAAGGTTTTTAATAGATTTGAATAAAAGAAATACCAAATAAAAATAAAACCAAGAGAAATAAAAATACGTGGTAACTAAAAAAGTTAGAAAAAAAAAAGATGAATCTAATTTAAGAAAACTCAAAAAGTGTTTAAAATAATAACAATATAATAAAAAAGCTATGGAAGAAAAAAAAAAAAATTAAAACAACGAGAAAACGGGAAAAAGCAAATTAATTTAATGCTAAAATAAGAAGAAAAAAGATCTAGATCAAACCCTTAAAAAGAAGAAAAAGGAACTTAAAAAATAAATAAAAAAAAACATGACTATGAGACCAGTGAAACTTGTCATCGTCGGTGATGGTGCCGTCGGTAAAACTTGTATGTTAATTTCATATACAACAAATGCTTTCCCAAATGAATATATTCCAACAGTCTTTGAAAATTATAATTCTTCATTGGTTGTTGATGATGTTAAAATTAATCTTGGATTATGGGATACTGCTGGACAAGAAGATTATGATAGATTAAGACCATTATCATATCCATCAACTGATGTATTCCTTGTTTGTTTCTCCGTTATTGCTCCAGCTTCATATGAAAATGTTGAAGGTAAATGGAAACCAGAAATTGATCAACACTGTCCAAATGTACCAATTATTCTTGTTGGAACTAAAATTGATATTAGAGATGATCCAGAACAAGTTAAACGTTTAGCTGAAAAGAATATTGTCCCAATTCAACCTCCTCAAGGAGATGAATTAGCAAAGAAAATTGGTGCTGTTAAATATATTGAATGTTCTGCTTTAACACAAGCCAATCTTAAACTTGTTTTTGAAGAAGCTGTTAGAGCTGTTCTTGCTAAAGCTGCTAAAGAGCCAACTGGAAAGAAAGAAAAAGGAGGTAAGAAAGGATGCTCATTATTCTAATTTCACTTTTTAGTTGATAAATTGAAGAAGTTGTTATAAAAGAAAATATATTTGTTTTTTGTAAAAAAAATAGAAAATAAAAGAAGAAAAGAATTGAATTTAAAAAATCGAACAAAATCTTCTTTTTGAAGGTTGTGGGTTTACTGGATTTGACACATTCACATTGTCTTGTGACATTCCATTATTTGAAACTGTTGGAATTTTTGAACGTTTTGTTGCTTCGACAAATAGTTCTGTCACGTCTTACCAATGAATAAATATTATAAAAAGTCGTAGTAATAACAAAAAAAAAAATAATAACAAACTCTGTCCTGTTTTTGCTGAAACTTCAAAAAATAAAGCATTGTGTTGGTCTGCAAATGATTGACCATCTGATGTTTGAACTTCTCGAGTTGCTTCAAGATCAATTTTATTACCAACAATTGCAACAGAAATATCACTCGATGCTACTTTCATTAAATCAGTATACCATCCTTCAAGTGATTCAAATGATGATCTTGATGTAATGTCATAGCAAATTAATGCTACTGTAGCACCTCGGTAATACATTCCTACCATTGAACGATACTTTTCTTGTCCAGCTGTATCCCAAATTACAATTTTTACATTATTCCCATCAATAGGAAGATATGTTGTTACAAATGATGCACCAATTGTTGATTTTTCATCTGGTTTAAATGAACCATCAACCAGCCTTCCTGAGACACAAGTCTTACCAACACTTTGATCTCCAATAACAACAATTTTTACTGCATCTTGAGAAGATTGCATCGAATTATTTTAATTTAAAGTATTTTAGTTCTTTTTTTTTAATTTTTATTCAATTCGTTTTTTTTTTCTTTTTTTGGTACAACAAATCTTTTTTTATTTATGGTTTCTTAAATTTTATTTTGTTTATTCTTCAAATCTTTATTCTTTCTTTGGTTGTTAAGTTTATTGATTCGCAGAAGCTTTTTATTAGTTTTTGTTCTTATAAAAATTCAAATACTTTCATAAAAAGTTAAATTATTCAATTAGATATATGGAAGCCAACCTTGAAACATTGAACCTAAATTATCAACAGACTTTGCATCATTAATAAGTTGTTCAGCTTGAGAACGTTCAGAAACAACCCTTCCTAATTTGTCAATGCCAGACAAAATACGTTTAAAACGAGGAATTGGTTTTTCAGGGATTTGGGAAGCACTTGATTCATTATTAGCCCAATCAATAAAAGGATTTTGTAACATACTATCAGTTAAAGAGATAATAACAGATTGATTATGACGTAAAGTTTTTAGGACAACAGTACACATATCAAGAAAAAGACCATTTTCAGCTTGAGGACCAAAACAATCAATCATATTAGTAGTCAATCTAAAAGGAACCGTTTCAGGAACAGGAAGGATTTCACCTTTCCAAAATAACATATCAAAATCAATATGAACAATATTTCCATCTTTTGTATTTAATAAAATATTTTCCAAGTGACGATCACCAAGACCAATAATTGAACCAACCATTGACATTACAGCCATACTTTTACTATAATTTTCTCTTGCTTTAATTTGATGATGAGGAATAGGAAAAGAATGATTAAAATTTGAATAAAATTGAGGAGGAAGAGTATAGGAAGAATTTAAAATATATTTTTTATATAAATCCACTCTTTTTCGTTGATTTCCTTCTTTTGCAACTAATTTATGATAAGTGATAATATCCTTAGTACGAGATTCAACAATTAAAGATTTCATAGGAATAGTATTAGAAGCCCATTCAATTAAACCAGTTTCTTCACTCATAGGTAAAGCAGTATAAGTTTGAATTTTTAAATTATA